ATATATATATATATATATATATATATATATAAGTTTATCTTTTATCTTGTGAGCATTTTATATTGTTAAATATTGAAGCAGTAACTTAATTTTTCTTATAATTTTATTATTGTATTGAGCCTTCACCATTAATTATGTGAAGACCAAAATAAATAATTTTAGAAAATGATTTGATGGAATGATAGAGACATGACGGGAAATCAGATACCACAAGTCCACAATCCTAACTTCTTTGACCAATAAATTCTGTTGTCTTTTCAATTCTAAATTTGGAATTTTTTTGGGAAAAAAAAAGTTTCTTAAAGAATTTCTAAATAGTAATGTGTTTGGATCAGGTATCTTATTTCTTATTTTTTAATCTAACAAGTAACACGAAAATCTTATTTTTTTCGAAAATATTTAGTTTAAATCTTTGCTTATTTTGTTGTTCATCAATTTGTTACTCATTTCAATATTATTAGAGGAAAATGATCTAAAATATCTTTAAACTATTGAATTTCGTATAAAATTATTTTTTATTAATTTACTAATTACGAAATGTCTTTGGAATTAACCTATGTGACCCTTTTATACTCTTTATCACAAATAACCTTATCAGTTCCATTAATTAGTCTTCTCATTTAATACATGAAATGATCTGAATCGTTAAAAAAGTTAACTAAACCAAAAACATATTTGACTCAATCCGAAGATCAGAACATGAATATACTTATATATCACATGGTAAAGAGTTAACTTTTAGAGGCAATAAATAGACACATTAATAAAGATTGTTATAGTCTTTACCGATATTAGTTAAGTATCATTAGATTTAATATTGTTAAAATATTTTGAAACATCTTTAAGAGTGTTAATTACCACTAAAATATATATTAAATGATAATAAACTATTATCGCTAAAGATATTTTTGATATAGTGTAGCCAAAAATCTCTCGAGTCTCACGATCTATTGGTGATGACTTTTGCAAAGAAAGAAAAAAAAGTAATATTACTATAATACGATGGATTTAAGTTACATGCATATTATTATTTAAAAAATAAATTAATAAATAAAATAAGGAAAAAATCACTATACTGTGCTGTTTTGGGTGATCTAGGCTATATCTAGAAGTGATGGTCCAAATGGACTGACCCGTAAGGTATCTCATTGAGGATCCAAGACGCGTCGGCCCATTTAAAATTACGTCAGTATTAGTAAGAGAAAATTATATAAAATAGCAAATTATTAATTAAATTAAATAGTATAATCATAATTTCATTTAATTTTTATTTGTAATTAACACTTTTCCATTTCCGCTCTCCCCATATTTCTCCCTCGCCAGATCTTCTGATCTCGCTTGCCGATCTCGCTTTATACAAACATAAATATATAAATTGTGTTTGTCTTTGCATAAAGCGGGTGAAAATTGTATATATACATATCTTTTTGTTCGTCTCTCTAGCTCCCCAGATATCTCGCTCGCCACTTTCCTGATCTTGTTCGTCACTCTCTCTCTCTCTCACTTAATACTCCATCTGTCCCTATTTAGTTGTCCACTTTAGAAAAGGGACACATCTTAAGATAACAATAATTAACATAGTAATTACAGTTTTACCTTTATTAAATATGGTTTCAGAAAGGATGAATTAAAACTTAGAAATTTTCAATAAGTTTAAATGAGGGTATAATAGGAAAAACAATTTTTTCCTTTCTTAATTTGTCAAAATGGACAAGCAAATGGGGACATTTAAAAGAGAAAATATGGACAAGTAAGTAGGGATAGAGGGAGTACAAACACAAATGTATAAATCGTGTTTATATTTGTATAAAGTGAGAGAAAATTATATATACAAATACATATCTTTTTGTCCTATACACTTATAATTATATAATTCAAATCTTTCTCTGCCCAATTCTTTTTTGTCTTTCTCTCTTTCTCGCTGTAAAAGACACAAGTTATACACGAATATATACTTTATTTCTTATTTGTATACAAATTTCATACAATTGATTTTTGTATAAGTATACCAAAATATACATCTTAATAGTCACAACAAACTTTAATTAATTGATTTCTCTCTTATTATGTTTGCTATGAAGCACAATTATGCAAACTATAACTATAACATACAAATATGATTGTTTTGTTTGCTAAACCTAAAATTTACTCTGGTAATAATATAAGGGTTTATTATGAGTGAATATGTGTATTATTTATACCATGTAAAGATTAGTTATTCACATATTAGTTATTCCACCTTCTATTCTTTATAAAATAATACATAAATTCTCTCATAATTAAATCATACATATATTATCCATGCGAGTTTCTAAATTATCGATCAAACATCGTATTAATTTCCTAAGAACCTATTTCTATCTACCTACAAAAACATTATAAAAGTTATTCAAAAATTAATGCATGAATAACTTATTTCTTATCTTACTAATTATCAAAACGACCCATCTAGAGTTATTAATAATTATTAATTTACTTAAAAGACTTCACAAGTACCGAAAAGTTAAGCTTAGCTTTAAAACACTTAAATTATGTTCATTTAAAGAATTTTAAAATCACCATCTAAAGACCAAAATAAACAATTTTAGAAATGATTGCATGAAATGATAAGAGACATTATGGGAAGTCAGAAACTAATTATCTGACCAATAAATTCAGTTGCCTTCAATTCTTAATTTGGAGTCTATTTGGAATTATCATAGATTAAAAAAAACTGCTTCTTGAAGAATTTCTAAATATTAATGTGTTTATATAAGTTTCTTATTTAAGCTACAGCTTACACTTACCATGAAAATCTTATTTTTCGAAAATATTTAGTCAAATACAAAATGTATATTGTGAGTACAAGTCAACTAGTATGTACTTAGTAATTTACTTCAATATCTTCAAATATTATTTTAATTTTGTATTACAAAATAGTTATTTGTAATACTTTTTACTAGCTTCTAAAAAAATAAATAACGTATACATTTGAATTCGTAGTTTTGTACTAAAATTATTAGATTTATAAGAAAGGATCCATATATAGTCTAAAATCTTAATGCACTGGATAATTGACCAGAACCTTTTATAAAATCATTTAGAGACCTTTTTATTATATGTAATGGAGTATACTATACATACATAGATTCAATAATCAATCGAAGTTGTTACGAAGTGTTAAGGAGAGTTTTTTCATCTTTTATAATATGATGTTTTTAATTTGAATTTCAAAAATAAAATTATTATTTTTAGAAAATACTTTTATATCTTAATGTTAGATTTTTTTAATGTAAAATTAAATTTAATCAAAACTTAAAGCGAAGCCAAAATATATAATTAGAGCACTAATTATGCAATGATAATTTTAGTTCAATGGATCTAGTCCACAAAATAATAACTATATTAATTGTATTTAAATATAATATATTTAATTAATGTATAGATTTGTTATATTTCAATCATATTTTAACAAATAAGTTAAAATAAGTTTGGTTGAATGATGCATTGCTAAGTTTTTCTTTTATAAATTCTATTTGTGTCATGTTATACGATTCCAAATAACGGTGCATGGACGGTTCATGTAAAAAGTTCATCCTAATTCAACATTTGAGAAGTGTAAATTAATATATTAATTAATTGAAATTATACTAATAAATAACTTGTCTAACCGTAATTATTTTATTTCAAAAATATTATATGTTTAAACTCTATAAAATTTAAATTTCAAATTTAAATTTTTAACTCAAAATGAAAAACAATTATATTAATTGGTAAATACTATCTGGCATAAAGTGTTTATCAGCCGATTTAACTTTAACAATAATAAATATTTTAAATCTTTTATCAATTAAGGTAGTGGTACTTTCATTTTACGTGAATACTTTTATTTTTAATTTGTCCAATGAATAGCAGTGCTGATATTTTCTTTTTTGATAGTTTACTTTAATACACTTGACTTGTTTAATTAAACGTAAAAAAGAAATTCAAAAATCTTTTTTTTTTTAAAAAAATCTTTTTCTAGAAAAATATTCTTATACTCAATTTAAACAAATATTATTACATAGAAGAAATAATTAAGAAAATATTTTGTATATAAGAAAATTACTAATTTTAACATATAAATATTAAGTGTGAATAAATATTTATTTTCATTTATTATAAATGTCATTCTCGAATCCTCTTTTCCTTTTTATTTTTAGTGAGTGATTACGTATGAAATATTTAACGAAGGAATGTAAATTTCTCATAAAAAATATTTGAAAAAGTTAATATTCTTTTCCGAATAAGTTAATTTAATAAGTTTGACTAAACATATATTGGAAAATTGATATTAATATTTCTAATAAGTTTATTTTCACAAAGTTGACTAAAAGTAAATTAGATTTCTGTATAAATTATCCTTTTTCTTCTAATTTCAAATCCACAGTCAAATCATTATTACTTAAAGCAAATCTCTTAATCCATCATTTTGTGTTAATCACTCTCTTTTATAAAAATCCCTCACACCTCTAAGCACTCTTAACAAATTAACAATGGTTCCCCTGCCACCTAACGCTACCTCTGCCATCAGCTCCACCGCTGCCTCCGCCGCCCCTGCCGCTGCTGCCACATCGAATCGGCTCGTTGTCGCCTTAATTGGCTCGGTGAATTCCATTTGGGCTTTGTGGAAGAAGAAACCTAATCGAAGTACCAAAACCAAAAAAACAGGGGAGAATTCATCGCTAGCGAAATCGAAGAAATTTCTGGCGAAGATAAGCGGTAAGGCGACTAATTTTATGCGTAAGAAAAAATCTAAGAATGGGGGAGCTGAAAATGGTGAGGATTTTGGTGATGGAGGGCTGTGGCAGAAGGAGATTTTGATGGGTGATAAATGCCAGCCGTTGGATTTCTCCGGCGTGATTTATTACGATCGGGACGGGAATCAATTGGCGGAGGTGCCGGTAAGATCGGCGAGGAGTAGTCCTTTGCCCTTCTATGTTACCGAATCATCAAAACATTCAGAGATTAATTAATTAATTAGTCAGCTAATCAGTTAATTAGTGGAGTGTAAGTGATAATTAATAATAACATAATGCTGCTTTTTTCTGGGGGTTCTTTATGTGATTAGGGAATTAGGTTGATGTTTAGTAAGGAGTCAAAGCTGCAGAATTTAAGTCGTTTGAATTGGAGGATTTATGGGGGAAAAAATATTAATTTCAGTTAAAGTTGATTGTTATCTTTTCTAATAATTCTATTTCCGTTTTAATGAAGGTCTAAAAACGTAAAGAAAATGAAATGAACATTGGAGTATTTATCTTAATATAGAACTATTCTTGTTTAATTAAGTCCCCTCCAATTAATCAAAACTTTTCTTTTTTGGTACCCACAAATAGGCTTAACGACATAAAGAAAATGAAATGAATATTAGAGTTCTCTTAATTACTTACCGATCCCAAGTTTTATTTTTTTGGATCATTTTTCAAGCTATTAATAAGCTACTGAAAAAAGATCCAAAGAAATGAATTGATCTAAAACAAAACAGGAATAGTTAATATTTTTATTATTTTAAACATGTAACAGTGATTAAAAATAGTAGATGTGATATTAAATATGTTTTTTAACATTTATGTTAAAAAACATATTTAATTTCATGTCTTCTATCTTTAATCACTTTACATGTTTAAAATCTTTAAATTCAAAACTATTTTCTGGTATGCTATTTGTATGTTGATATTTTTATATGGATATGCTATTTGTTTGAGTAATTTTTATATAGTGGTGAGGGTATCAGTTACCGGTTGTTAAAGAACAAAATTTTACTAGAGTTTTATTACGTGGTAGAATTTCCTCCAAAAACATATGTATAGTAAGAGCTGTTTCTAAGCCAAAAGAGATAAAAGTTAATTTATGATTTTTGATTTATTTGTTAGTTTGGCTTTAAAGTATTTATAAGCATCTTTTATAATTTTACTTAAATACTTTAAAGTATTTAAAACTGTTTAAAAGTTCTTTTGATTTTAAAATCCAAATCTGAATCAATTCAAATAGACATTAAATAAGTATCTGGTCACAAGATTAGGGACCTCAATTTGAAATTTTGATCGAATATCAGTGTTTATGTTAGAAAATTATATTAAAAAATAACTAGTTATTGCTATTATTGATTTTTTGGATAAATAAATCTTCATAGCGCAAGTGTTTATATAAGCTCATAATAATATATAATCAAAAATATTTATATATAAAAAATATGTAATTTATTAATATCACAACTTAGAAGTCAAAGATACTTAAACCGGTCAACATTAAAAGAGAAGACTCTATTTAGATTACATGTTTACTCCCTTAAAAAGAGACTTTAAATTAGTGAATGCAATTTTCTATAATAGATAACTAATTTCCCTTTTAAGTTTAATTTAAATTATTGTCTCTATAATTGGTAATTATGCACTTGTTTACATGCATTTAATATATTTTTCTATTTCGTGCAGTGTTTTGATAACCAATACTCTGAATCAACTGAATTGTTAGAGATATTTTTAGTTTTCCAAATTAACTTTAATTGTTCCGTTTCTAAGATTATTTTCAATTTTTTTATCCATCATTCGTTAGTATTAAAATTAGTAATTAATTAATATTTTAATCATAAATTTAACAACAAATAAGAATAAAAGAAGTCATGACTTGTGCTTAATTTATGTTTTAACCTTTTTCCTTTGAAACACCTTAACCATTTAATTAATTTAAAATGGATGGAATATATTATAGAAGTATATGCTGGAGTATTGTTTAAATAATTATTTTTTGTCACATTACAAACAAGTTACAAATTATTCAATTTAACAACTCAAAATTCCACAAAACTACAAAAAAGTCATATAAGAAGGTTAAAAATCAACATAGATAGATATATACACTAAGGAAAATGAAAACGTTAGAATAATTTGATCAAAAGGAGGATAATTTTACATTCCAATTAAAACATCAAAAGCCCAACAAACAAACAAATTAAAAAACAAAGAAGACGTTAATTAATGCCACAATTTACTCAGGTGTGAACAGAAAATCTCAATATTTCAGTTGATTAACTATCTGAATCTTTCGATTTCTCATCTCGCAATCCCCACCCGTTTTCCCCCAAATTACGCACCGGGAGCTGTATCCTTTTCTTTATACTGAAGGTACCCACCAAATTCTCTACCGTAATCCTTCACATCAGCGGTATCAGTACTATGATCATAATTTTCTTCCATTGATCTCGATCTCCTGCTGATGAAGTACTTGTACACCCAAGTTACTACCGCGCCGAATCCGCAGAGGGATAAAAATCCAAAAGCGGCGACGAAAATTGGGATCCAAATCGGACTAGTAATGAGAATCAACGGAGTGAGGAAAATTAACCCAAGGATTACGGTCGTTATAGTGACGCCAGTGAGGAGGAGCAAAATTCCGCCAGAGATAACAAGGGTTAAAAAACCCATGAGTTGTGTTGAATTAGGGAGGTGAGGTTTTAGCAGATTTTGGAGAAATGAGGTGCGAATTGGTGTTAGAGGTGGTCTGGTTTGAGTGTGATTGAAGAAATAATTTGGTGGTCGAGCAGCCATTGTTGCAAGGAAAGTGGAGTGAAGGGCCTTTTGTTAATTATGAGGGGAAAGTTTAATTAAAGATATGGGTAGATGGATTCAAATGACATGTGTAGAGATATTGGTACTTGGTAGTTTCTGCATGCAACATGCATGCACACACGTGGTCCATAGAAAAGATGAAAGTGGTTGTCAAGTTTATTATTATAGCAAAACAAAATTAAGTTTGGAAGGATTATCTAATGTTATTTTTAGCTAAATTGGTTCACGTATATATATATATATTGATTAAAATTTTATTCTTATATATATATATATTAATATGTTGATTAAAATTTTAAAAAGAATAATGTTAAATGTTTAGAAAATTTGGTTAGAAATTTAAAAATTTTATAACATATTTTTTTAAAAAAAATAAATTGATTTTTTTTGATATTTTTTACTTATAAAGCATTAAGTTTAAAATATAAAAATATTTTTTTTTAAAAAAAGATAAAAATAGCATAGATAAAATATCATTCTAATCAAATTTATTGACGAAGGATTTTTTCCATTTAAAAATAGATTTGTTTACTACTACAAATATTAAAGTCACAAAAAAAGAGATTAAAACTCGATAGGAGTTTGAAATTTTTTTAAAAAAACACAAATAAAACACAATTCATATATATTATTATATTTTTTAAAAAAATATAATAAATAACACATTATAATTTTTTTCAATAAATATTCTTTTGTGAAATGAATTCAAATTAGTTTCCTTAATAATATAATACTAAATATTTGTTTATACAAACAAAACACCAAATAATTACTAAACAGAGAAGGTAAAAAAAATCATAAAAAATTAAATATTTGTTTATACAAACACAGCACCAAATAATTAAAAAAAAAAAGAAGAGAGAGGCAAAAAAAAACATAAAAAATGAAGCTGGTCAAGTGAGACTCTTTCCCCCTTCCTAAATCAGCCATTGCCTCATATAATAGTTACAACGTGATGATAGTTATAACTTATAATTTATAAATATCAATTTACGATAATTAAGTGATAGAAAGTAATATATAAACAAAATATTTCTTGCATTTAATTTGTGATTAAAACGCTGTTTGCGAGTAAATAAATTTCTTATATGAATTACTACTAGCTAACTAGCTATTTGTATCGATGACATTATGAATAACACGCTTTCTGTTTCAATTTTATATAATCTAATTCAATAGATAACACTTTTTTATTTCTTTTTACGTGATGATATTTGATTATATTCCATCCCAGATATAATTCCTTTGTTTTTGGAAGTAATCATATTTTATTTTTAAAATATCCTCAAAGTATTGGAAATGGTATAAAATTATCCTTCCTCCATCCACCTATTTGCTCGATAATATCATTTTCATCCACCTATTGGGTCCAAAATACACTAGTCAATTGTCATCCATATTTGGATTCAAAATTGAGACGAAAGAATAATTAAGATGAACATAGTCAGACTTTTAAGTTTATTGGTAATTTTTATTCATACGCTTGAATGTATGATAATTTACTTCTATAGATATTTTTTTCTCAAATTTTAATAATGTGACAGACTTATTAATTTGGTGGGATTTAATTAGTAATAGGTGAGTAGTGGATTGACTTATAAATTATTCTAATAAAGTTAAATTATAACCAATAGTTGAGCGCCCAGTATTTAAAAAATATTTAAACAATTTAATTTTAAAATAGTTAAATAAGTGGTCAATTTTGAACTCAAAGTGAATAACAAGGGTATTTTAGAGCCAGTAGGTGGATGAGGAGGGCACTTTGAAGCCGTGGATAGATGATAATTTTGTACAATTTCCAATACTTCAAAGATATTTTAGACCTGATCTTTTAAATTGGCAGGACCTATTTCCAAATATGAGGAGGCATCATAGGATTTTTTATTAATTATTTTACCTTTTTGATAAATAATTTTATTTCCATTGCTCAAGCATTTTTTTAATATCTTTTCAAATCTGAGGACTTATTTTAGTGATGTTATTAATCAATTTACCCTTTTGAATTAGTATGAACATATCTAATATTTTCTCTATTTATCTTGTATAAAAAGGACTCCTCTTACCTTCATACCACAAATTTCATCAAGAACCTACCACACCCGAAAAGCAATCTAATTCAAGAATAATAATCTTTGTTCTACAAAAAAGTGAGAGTAGAAGTAGCAAAATCTTAAATTTTAAACCCAAATAAAAATCTAAAACTATATCCTTAAAGAATTGATATCAAAATGTTCTCAAGCACCGCACCAAAAATCTTAGGTGCTCATAAAAATATTGAAATTTCGTAATTTCAAGACATGAATTCATATGACTGGAGACTGCATACACAAAATTTGATTGTCATAAAACCCTCTACAAGTACGGACATGAGGTAATTTACTCACAACTTACAAAAATGATGTCGACATTATTGTAACAACATTAGGATTCACCTTTAATAAAAGAGTGTTGTATTATTATTATTTTAAAAATTGTGGGTATATGCAACAATGTTTTTTGCATGTCAAATAACTTATTTAGACGTAGGAGGAAGGATGAGAGTGTGAGGATTTATTACTTTTCCTTTTTGGATTAATTTTTTTCTAAGGTTCTTTTAAATTTGATTAAAGGTGTTTTTTTTTTCCTTTTCTTATGAACAGGAAAATTTGTGATTCATTTTTACAATACAAATAAATCATAATTGTTGTTCTATATTTGGTCTTCTTATCCCTTTTCGTTATGTTGTAGTTGTAGCAATATGGGCAGCCTGGGTTGGTTGTCACACTTACTAGTAGTAAGTTGGGCTGGAGTTGATTATTTGATTTGTTGTCACTCTTGCTAGTTGGGCAAAGAGTTGACTAGTTCTTGGTTAGGGAGTCCGATCGATGTTGTTACATTCTGATCTAGGTTACTCTTCTTTCACAAAAGCTTACACATTTTGTGTGCCTATCATTTTACGGGGTCTAGTTAGGTTTAGTTTGCGTAATTATGTCATTTTTTCATATCCGCTTTGATATATGTTTGTGTTTAGATTCTATCTTTTCGATTGTTTTTATCTTTCTTGCTCGATCAGCTTATGATATCTACTAAGTACCTTGTTTTGATACTTATACTACACTCTGTATCTTTTCTTAGATGCATGTCCTAGACTCCTAGTATCTAACGTATTACAGAGTTTATGGAACAAAAAAGATTTGGGTTGAACATGGGTGGTCAGTCGAATCGATTGAATGAACACTCTTTGTTAAAAAATTTATGTTATGTAAATAAAATATCGAATAAAGAATATATGTGAAATTCTTTACTTTAACTTTAAATATTCTTTTAACTCAATTCCATTGTATGGTGTAATAGTAACGGAATATCATAGATCATAGATTATTGATCAAACTCGAAAGCTTAGACACCTGCTCTCATTGAGCTAATGATTGGGCAAATTAAATGGCATACCCCAAACTAAACATTCGTTATTTTTTTAAATTTTGTATAGTAATATTTTCCCTCTTTTTGCTTAATGTTGTGTGGGTCAAACATAAAATGTAGAATCATTTTTGCCATCACATAATATAGTGTAGAAAAATGCACAAATATTGAAATGACAAAATTATTCAGAATTTACTTTCTTCTTGACCATCGATCTTCTTGATCTTCCTGATCTCCAAATGATAGAATGACGATCTGGACAAATTTGGTATGGAACTTTTGGTGGAGTAACTTCTGGAAAACTGCATATGTATCCCACATTTCAATAATCGGTTCTTTTTTTTAATTTATAACTCGTACACATACGAGAAGAAATCACTTAATATTTTTATTTAAGATGAGACGACTAAACTTTACTATTATTACCACAACAAAAAATAATTCAAGTAGAAATGACAAATTTCCATGTTCTAAATATATATATCAACATAACAACCGGCCTGCAAAACGTAACTAATCGAATTTAAGTTATAATATACCTTGAAAATCTAAAATAATCACACTCTTAATTCTTATAATTTAACCAATTATAGCCGTTCAATTACTATCATTTTTACAATCTAACTTATGTACATAGATAGTGTACTTTAAATTTTACATTATCATGCCTTTCTTTTTTCTTTCTTTTTTTTTTACCTTTTATGTAGTATTTTAAGGATTACAAATTTCATATTTTATAAAGGACTACTTATAGATACATTTTGAATTCTCAGATGGTCACTCAATAATTATTATTATTATCTAATAAAGTCACTTATTTTTCTTAATTTCGATTTTTTTAATAAAGAAATAATTATTAGTTGAGTGACAATATGAGAAATCAAACTCGTTATAACTCTGGTTACCTTAAAACTCTAAGTCCGTTTGGTAATATAAACATTTCATTTTATTAGAGAATTTTTTAGCTTAAACCATAGCTACAAACAAGATATATAAATCCCCTGCTAGAGGAAATTAAAGTATAGAATTATCATTTATAAAATTGTGTGGACCACAAAGTATATATATTTAGTAGATGGAGCAGGTAAGCGTCAATAATATTATAAGATGCTTCGTATTATGAAATGAATCCTATTGTTACCTCAGTGCATTAATTTCAATTTGTGAGAAGTCCATGTTGGTTGAACTATCTTGAAAACAGATGGTCCTTGTCCTTGTTCCTTTAGTCATCAGTGGGGTTGGTTGCTTGATGGCTACTACTTTACAATTCAAATTGCTACCAATGTGATTGTGGGACATGGCCAACCTAAACAAAAGAAATTACACTTATTTTAGTTCCATAAAATTTGTTTGCGAAAAAAACTTTGAGATTGAATTATGTCAATATTTATCTATTTTTCTTGTGACAGTGGTATAAACACTTATGTTGTACCTGTTGTGTTATGTTATTCACGCTTTAATTGCAGGCCGGGGATGGAATATACCCCTTAATTCCCTAATATGTACATGTGTATTCCAACAACACCAACCTAATTGATATCAGCCTAAGCTTGATGTTGTCATGGTCGTAAAGAAATGAATCTTTTGCCTAACTATCTATTAATGCCTTTTTAATTGTAGAGTTGAGCAATTCAATTGCAAAAGTAAAAGAAAATTATATACCTGTAAAGAAAGCTGTGATCATGAAGTCCAGCAACAAGAGTAGAAGCACCAATTTCTCTAACCATAGCACCAATCTTTCCACCATCTTGATCCCCTTGTGTCACCACAATCTCTGTCTTCGTCTGTAACACAACCCTTCTATTATTCCATCAGTAACATAAAACAAAATCACAGAATAAAAAAATAGTGTAAGCATACATTGAAAAAATTGTTGCATATGTCTTGAAAAGAAAGAGCCAATTGGAAACCTTGGAGGCGTAAAAGCCTGAGTTTCTTCTTGCTCTTCGATCTTGTCATACAGAATATGTGGAGAAGAGTAATTATATCTCCGTATCTCAACAGATTCTCAAGTGTCCACTCAAGTGCTCTTCTTGCTATCTCCACATCTTCCACTACTACCACAATTTTTCTTACATCCATATCTGTCTCTCTCTCTCTATATATATATATAGTTAGCTAACTATTCCTTTAATTCCTCTGTTTTCTTCTATCAACTTTTACGTCCTTACAGAGTTTTGACTACATAAGAACCGTGCTTACAAATGAACAAGGAAGTTAGTTTCCTTTAAATATTTATACCAATTGTATCACACGTGGCCCAATCTTTGATTAAATTAATTTTCGTGGTAAATTTTTAGATACTAATTGAAGTTATGAGTCATCCTTTTTCAACTTCGCCCTATTCACTCACGCAAATGCGGGGAAGCGTCACCACGCACCACTTCGCCTTTTTTAATACGATAGGGGACGGCACACATATGCTTCTTACTTGTTTGTCATTTTTATTATTATCCTTTCTTTCTTGGTTTATGTCACATGTCCGCTTATGACTTGTATTGTAGTGAACACTCACTTTGAGGAGTTGGTAACACTGACCAAGGATCTACAATTCCTACCTTTCTTCTAGACGTTTATACCAAAAAGAGGTGGTGACTTCTTTTTGCATCTATGTGAAGGAACAGCTAATACAACTCACCAGAGGGTACAAGAATATAACCATGGGAATAAGATGAAAGGATTTTTTTTATGTTAAGAAGAAGCTCAAGAGGAAATGAACAAGTGCTGACCATACAGAATAAAAGCACGACACTGCAAAATGTTTTCACGTCGATAATTTGTTATTCACAAAAGTTCATGAAAGATTTTATTCAAGGCAGCTAGACTTACTACGTGTTTCTCCTAGTGCTTATGTATCAGGGTAATCAGCTCACTGACTGATTACATACTCTTACAATAACCGTACTCAAGTCCTACACACAGCTCATCTTTAAGTAGTCCTAACCCACGGTGCTCAGCAGCAAACTCTACCCCCTTCTGTCATTTATTTATTTTATATATAACTACCGATAACGTCAAGTTAAACCTGACTACAAGTTTACTATGACTAAATACTAGATAATGCCGGGTAATGTCTACTTCCTGAACACCATTCACAGGTACATATACAAGCTCTTTTCAAGTGACACGACCCCAAACAGTTCTTCCTTGGCCACGCCCACCACGTGCATTGTCATATCCTCTTCCACGGTATGATTGTTGAACCCCCCCTGACATGCGAGCTCTCTGACTACGACCCCATGGGTTCTTCTGAATCTCACCAAATGTCTAGAAAACACATAAACAAGTCTCTTCAGAAATAAAATTGAAGAGAAATTCTAAAGCAAAGATATTAAAATTACCTCGACGTCTTTTTTCCTTTGGTCGGAGAACTTCACTTTCCCAGATTCACGATCAAGTGCATGGCAAGAAAGAGAATCAAAGAAGTCCTCCTTACAATAGACAGGCTGTAGAACAAAACGTTATCTACAGCAAATTAAGGGATACATGGAGAAAATAATTGGTAAGGCAAATGGTAAACTTTTTCCACCTGCAGCTTACCTTATTATCATGTTTTGCACTTCGATCCCCTGTTGTATCCTCAGCGTCACTTTCACCCATCTCTTTCTCATCCCCGATTCCTTCATCTGGTTCATCTTTGTTACTTCTGCCTAGAAAATCCCATACCTCTTTCTTATTGAATTTTTCATTCATTGCCTCAAAATCGAAATCCTCGGAGAATCTTTTAGTCACAAGGGGATTCTGGAAAAAAGAAAAAGAAAAGTATGCTCTGAGTACAAAGAATTGTGTTAGTTAACACTTAACAAACAGACGAATACGAATAGTTTTATCTTTGATATTTGAGAGGATATGTTTCCATCAGAAGCAGGTCGCTCTTTCTATTTCCCAATGATTCAGAAGGGGGGACAAAGTTTGCTAAGTCAATAGTGTATCAAAATGGGATACAAAGAGAAAATGTCAAGGCTTGCATTCCTTGCAGCTTGTTCAAACAATTATCATCATTCAACACTCCCAAACTATGTAATACTGGAATGCATATTTATGGGACATTTACGGAGAGGCAAATTTATTACTACATCTGAAGACTTATAAATTGTAATTCTCAGAGATTTTGCATCCAAGCTAAGGCATATTTATGGGAGATTAATTTAACTGACATGCTTCATGTCATATGGATATTTGGCTATTTCTAATTTTTCTAAAAATAAAAATCAAAACACATTAATTGCCATTCCAAGTTTCATGAATCTTAAGTACGTATTGCCTATTACTCATCAGATGACAAGAAAAAGCATCTCAGGAGATAATGCAAGTGTTACCATGATAAAAGAACTTGGAGGGCTATAACAAAGGCATATTTGACAATAGTGACCTCCGCAGTGAGAATGCTGAAGGCAATTTTGAAAATGAGAAGTAGGTAGAATTTTGCAAACACACGAAACAAACACAATCCAAGAATCACAAGAAGACTTAAATGCCTCGACGTAACTAAACTAATATACTGAGGAAGGAAATATAGCAACAAAGAATTGACAAAAAATGTCATATGTCCACACACAAAAATCACAAAGAGATCAAGTGCTAAAAGAATAATTACCTTAGCTCCACGTCCCCGAAAATGACTTCCTGTGTTGCGATGATTGTGTTGAGGAACACCATCCCGAAATTGAATTCCTGTGTTGCGATGATTGTGTTGAGTAACACCATCACGGAATTGGATTCCTGTGCTGCGATGATTGTGTTGAGGAACACCATTTGGCTGAAACGATGTGGAAAATAAGTTAAAGAATGTGGTAGGCCATAATAAGACGAATAAAAGTACTCAAGTAGATAGTTAACAAAATCAAAGGACAAAGCAAAATTTGGCAGTCATCAGAAGAAAAGGAGAATGAACTACTAGTGGAAAGTTTTTGTTATACTGACTTTATCAGAAAAGACCAATTCCAAAAAGAAACATAGAAAAAGCATGAAATTTACTTTAGAATTATAAGCACGAAAAGATTAAAAATCAACGGAAAACTAGCCAACTGGATTACCACTTTTCCTCTGCCCATGCCCATATTACTCTGACGAGAATGTAGAGCAGCTCCAATAAGCTGAAAGGTCAAGAAAAGTGGAAATCACTTCCTTTACTTTCTGGTCAACGGTAAGATATGACATGGTTCAATACTTAATTTAGCCAAAATACACATAAAGACAGAATAATGGATCACATGCTCTAATTAATTAGAGTTACCCCATTTCCTCTTCCTGATGCATATTTCCTGTAACTTTGTTGTGCATAAATAGGACCTCCATTTGGCTGAAACAAATTATAAGGAGCAAAAGGGCATATGTCAGAAAGCATACAGAAAAGAAACTTCTCTTTTTCAGGTTAGGGTCTTGAGGAGGGCAAGGGACCAAAAGTAAGGAGTTTGCCCTTGGCAAACAAATAAGTCAATCAGGTTACCACATTTCCTCTGTGTGCGGGGGGTCCTCTACTGTTGTGATGAGTGGATGATGTGTCTTGATGTGCCTGAATGAACATAAAACAACCCAAAGGTAAACACCAACACCATTGAAGGCTCAAATGAGAATAAAAACGACCATGTAATGCTGAAAATTACCCCATCTCTTCTCTGAGCAAAGTAACTTCTATTGTGATGAGATGATGTAGATCCGCGTAACTAGAACGAAAGAAAGAAAGAAAGGATGGTGTCAGCACGCAAAAAGCATACATGAATCTCCAAGTTATTGTATCAAATAGAAAATTCATGAAATTCAGCAGTAGACAACAAGTAAGAAACTTGAATACATAATGTTGCAAACATAAAAAGAAGATAGAAAATTATGCAATCAATAACATAACAATTATATTTAAGTACATAACAGAATTCGTTTCGTAATCCCTCTTCCCAATTAATATACCACACTTCCCAGAGAATGCCCATTTCTATATTTAGAAACAAATCATCTTTTAAAATTCTCATTTTATATTTAATGAGATGATTTAATATCCACATAATGTACAAGGCTTGTTTTAGACCACAAGTTCCAAAAGTCTTCCTTTCTTTCTTATAAGTTCGTGTAGAGTAAAACAGTGCCACATAAATTGGACCAAGGGAGTAAATAGGAAACATAAAGACGGTATACGATGATATCCATGTGCATTTATTTGAGGGTTAGAGCACAAGTATTTTAAATTGGTAAATGTGAGTAATCCTGGCAAAAATATGATTCATAGAATGTTAGTGGATTCGGTTAAGGGTCTCTTTAATATATTTTCTATGATGCCATTTAAAAGTAACTGCAACAGTGCCTCGCTGGTTACTTCTGTACAGGCTAAAGAATTTAATTACTACTCAATAACAACAAAAAAAAGTGTAATCACACACACAAACACCAAAAAATAGAAAAGAAAAGATATCATCATAACACAGAAACAGTAGGTTCACAATTTTAACATCTAAGCAAAAATATCAGTTGTTTAGCATTAATGAACACATCACAATATATGAGAGAAGGAATGGAAGAGAGAATGAGGAGAGCAAGCTTCCTTACTATTTTAGTTGGCGATTTCGGTAATGACTCCAGCGTTTCCTCAGTACTCCCTGATGGCAGAGGTTCTGATACTGATGCTTGACCAGTGTATACATCAAAGTTTGGATTTTTCATTGACTGAGATGATGAGGAATCCTTCTCTCCTGACTGTACCTCTGGTGTCAAGAGGGATTGTCTGGACAGATTGCTGAGAGATGCACCTTTTGTGTCTACAATAGATGACACTGTTTGCGAAAATGTTGGAAAAGAACCGGAAGGGCTAATGACGGAACTTGGTTCTTTCCTCACTGGAGTCAGATTAGCATTGGCATTAAGTTCCGCTTCCAGAGAAGACACAGTTCTTGGGCAAGAATCCACTGCTACAGTTGAAAGAGTACGGAATGCATCATTTGGCATTGGAATAGATAACAAATTAAAAGCCGGTTTAGCAGGCTGCCTGGGATTGGATTGCCCAGATGGAGACGGCATGGCAGGAAGTAAATTAGGGGAAGTAGTACTAATAGGCAGCAGCAATGGGTGATGTTGTGCAGCCAAGCTAGATCCTCCGGCTAATGCATTCACATTTTGGTGTTGCGCTTGCTGCTGAATGGGAAGGGATGCAACCAAACTTTGTGGTGGTGGAGGAAAACGTTGTTGTTGCTGTTGCTGTTGATAATGAGACACTCCTCCTGAGGACCCAACTAATCCTGGCCAATAATTAGGCACAGCAGGCCCACTGATATTTACAGGCGGAGGAGGAAGTGATGAACCCCAAAGGTTAGAACTTGGTAGCAACGGATTTGGAGGCAGATTCAATAAGAAAGGTGCAACAGGGAGCATGGACGGTGCACTGGTACTAACATCTGCTACTTGTACAGCACCAGGAGATGTCATGCCAATGGTTGGTGGTGTTGGATTAGGGAAATGAGTCTGAATAATTAATATTCACAAAGTTAATTAAATTTATATGATGCAACAATAGGATAATCTACCATATTAAAATCAACATACCTGTATTATGGCAGGATCATCAGGAACAACTGCTGTACTTTGAGGGGTTGCTGAAGATATAACCTGCAGATCCTGTGAGAAGAAGGAAAAGAAAAGGAGATAATCCAGAATGAGTCTATATTTACAACAGAAACAATACCCTCAGATGAATGGGTCTAACATTATTTTAGCTGTACTTCATCAGACATACGCTAAAGTCTATACAACATTTCAGGAGAATTCAAATGTAAGACCACTTCTCCAACTGAAAATAGCAATTCCCCTTTTCCCTCCGCATGGCTTCTTCCTTGTTACAAGCATAAAATTGATACTGCTTCAATTAAGGCACCAGGATCCATCTAAACATTCTTAGAATTTGATGCCAACCCTTTAATACCACTCTCTAAACCACTAAATCTGATAACCTAGAAGAGTTCTACATTGTCTAGTATATTGAGGCTTAAAGGGAAACATAAGTTACCCAGTAGCTTAAGCCTTAAACCTAAAAAGAAAAGAGATGTTGAGAACCTCATGTCTCATTTTTTTAAAGAGAGGTACAGAATCTACTGATGAGCAACCATGGATACAAAATAGTAGAAAAGAAATTAACTCCTGTCCCAAAGCAGTGGCATTTAAACTCCTAAATAAAATTCTACAAGCTAACAAAATCTATAAACTCTCGTGCCAACTTTTCCAATAAGAGGAAATAATAACTGCTGCAGTATGAGCTTAGCAGTAAGTAAAAGTAATCTTATTGGTCAGAAAATACTTTATGGGTATTGGCATTCACTTTGAGGTCTCTTTTCAGAGGGGAAAAAAAACTAAAAGTATACCTTGTACATACGAGGATAACAGTAGAACTAATATGTTTTTAGCAGTGGAAGACTCTTATCAAATTAGCCAGCTAGTCTTGGACATAGGCTGAACAAGAACCTACTGGACTGGGCATCCTCTCTGACACTATTTAGTCTGTCGGGATAAGAATTCTCACTATTGAATCTATCGATCCAACCTCATCCTACCCATGGTCGTAGAAGTTTTAAGCAACTAGAAACAGTTGGACGCGAAGATACAAGTAGAATCAGCATGTTTAGTAGTTATTGATATCACATGCACTCTAATGATTAACCTCCAAACTGATTCTGGAAGAGTACAATCTTAAATATATAACAGGAATGACCATGTAAGACACTAATCAAGAAATAGTTCAACTACTCTTGCATGGTCGCTATCTGTAGGTGTCGTGAAGATGCAAGCAGAGTCTGCATGTTACTAGTTGCATGGTCGCTATCTGACGGTGTCGTGAAGATGCAAGCATAGTCTGCATGTTACGTAGTTATTCACTATTATTACATGCACTCTAATGATAAACTGCCAAATTGACTCTGGAGGAGTACAATTTTTTTTAAAAGGTAACAGGAACGGTCATGTAAGACACTGAACAAGTTATAATTCAACTACTCTTGCATGCTAGGTGGTAGCTATCTGTAGATTTCAGGAAAAGGTTATGAACTATGAAGAAAACAAAAATGACGGAATGAAAAGTTAGTTCCTGTCTTACTATGAGCTGGTGGTTGGTTTCTGTCTAACTGTGAGCTGGTGTTACTTTGGCATATGATTTCTATCGTCAATGGACACTCCTCACGAAAGCATGCATGAGAAAATGTACTTCTTCCAGAAAAGTAGAAGGATAGGAGACATGGAAGAAGAATGAATATGAAATAGTCATCTTCAATTATTAGTACACTAAAACCAAGATCCTAGTTGCTTAACCAAACTTCAAAAGCATCTGAAGAGCTGGATGGGAAAAACTAGAGTACTAGCTTTTGACCATATTCGCAAAGACAAACAGGCTAAAGTATTACATAAAAGGTACAGCGGCAAAATTTGTTGGAATAGCCAAAGTAATATTTCTGCATCTCCGCTGCCCCTCTAAAGGACCCTGACCACTTGGTGACTGATGGGGAAAAAAGTTTCTTGAAGTTTTAATTACAATAATCCAGTTCCGATAAAACTACCAAGCACACAAAGTAAGCAGTTAAAGACAGAAATAGATCTTACCTTTATATCACTACCACGGAAGAAAATGTACTCGTATATTTTGTCACTAGGAGATATCTGAGGTCCATCCTTCTTTCGTCCTTCTGACCCATAAGATTTCACTGGACCAGAAACAGATGACTCAGTCACTAAATGTACACGATATGTAGCTAAGAGTTCAAGATAAAACAAGTAAACTATACCGCCAAATATCTAAACATAAAACATTATTATTAATTTAGCCAAACAACTCAATAATACAAAAGGGTAATAAGAGAAAGCCATAAACTTCAGGAACTAGAAAAGTCCATCACATTTGTTATGACACGAGGAGACACTAACCATAGTATTCTCTAGATTATCCATGATAAAAAAGGAAGAGCTTAATCTTAAAATAATTGTTAGAGAAGTAATTATCTGCTTTTGAACAAATTCGTCTTGAAATTCAAATCGAGCCTTTATTATTATTTTTTTTTATATAAAATAAATTCAAGTCTAGCCTTTATTTTTTATAAAAGAATTATTTTGATAACCTTGGTGTCCGGAACAGCATCCTTGCACCTCGGCTAATTCCGCTGGATACCTCCCACCTCCCATCAAGGTAAAACTGTCCAGTAAGGCTAAGACAAATGAGAAGAAAGGTGTTTTTGTCTCTACTGGTATTTGAACCTAAGATATCGTAGTTCTTAACCCACTTCATTGACCACGACGCCACACCTTGGTTGCAATTCAATTCTAGCCTCTATATAAACAGGAAGGTTGAAAAATTGGACTCAAATATGTTTCCTTCTGCGCACTTACTCAAGAGACCAGCCATATTACAATGATAAAAATTTACGAGGATTCAGCATCTACATAATATATGCACCAAAAATAGGATGTATGATTCAGCAACACACTTAGACATCAATTCATACAACAAATCTATCTTTTTTATAAACCATTTCCTCACACGTGGCATGTGCATGCATGGATCACTCAGAACTTCAGGGTGAACAAAAAAATAAGAATTTTCAGATGGTTACACAAGGACCTCAGTTGTTCACATTTTCCATTCAAAGTGTAGCTATCAACTGGTTCGCTTTAAGTTTAAAAAAAAATTGGGTCCTTTTTTCGAATAAATCAGAAGAGTTCATTTATTATTATAAAATCCTTTGCACATTGAAACCCTTACACAATCACAAACCAAAAAACAAAAAACAAAAGGATGCATGTCTTTTCTGTGCTACATTCATGAATTAAACTTTAACAAGCAACGACCTAAACAAGAAACTAATGGATGACACAAACCGGAAACAGCATTACAAAAGATCAAAACAAAAGGAACAACAACAGCAACAACCACATTTATGCATCAGTTCCTAGCAAGTTAAGACGGAAAACAAATGAAACACATCCTCTAACTTCCCTTGTGCTCACTCTCTCCTTCGTCACATTTTCTTTCCCTTTCCAAATTTATTAACCCTAACACATTCCTTCAAAAACTCCTTCAAACAGATCTATATCTATTTCGCCTTTCAAGTATTAAACACCAAACATTAGAAATTAATAACAACATAAACAAGCATGATCACACTGTATAATTCAATTCTCAGTTCATACAACATGCAAACAGTTCCTTTTTCTTTGCTTCATTCATCTACAACTCAGATAACACAAAGCCATACAACAAAACTCTTAACACATTCACAAACTAACAATTACTACATAATAATCAAAAAATAAAAAAACAGAGTGTGAGTGAGTGTGTATACCGTTACGAAGACCGATTGTTGATTCCGCAGCATCAAGATGAAATAGGAATCCTTCATAGCGTATATCAGACTTTGTGATCAAGCAAATAAGACTCCCAATGTAGGAGTCGGCTGCCTTAGAGGCCGCCGTTGCCATTGCGGAATCTGTTTGTGCTGAAACTGAAACCCTAATGAATCAGTGAGAATGAATTTATAGTGACGAGAAACCAAAAAAAAGGAAAAAAGATAATGTGAAGGAGGAAGAATCCATAAGAAACCGCTTGATGTCACCTGGCAAAGAGTGGAGGTTGGACGCTTCTTCTTCCTTATGCCCAGTGTTAAAAGAAACAGTAGAGCTAATCACACGAGAATTCTATTTCCTCTTCCCTTTAATACTTTTTTTTTCTGCCTTTTGTCTTTTTCCTAACTTACTTGCTATCTCACTTCGCCTTCTCATTCAATTCTATACCAAAAATATATATTTAGATATTTATTTCTTAAACATTTCATTTAATTATATTCATATTTTATCATAATATCAATTATTGTTTCGTAAAATATTATTCAATTTTATACTAAAAATATATTTTTTTTTCTAGAAATTCATTCAATTTTATACTATAAATACATTTTATCATATTATTGATTATTATTTCTAAAAATATGCAACAGTCCAAATTAAACAAGTAAAAGTAATAAGCTGAGAGTATATATAACTAAGATTATCAGGAAAGTACTAATATTTCTTTTTTAGTAAATTGTAGGTATAACAAATATAAAAAATCATAATAGCATTCTATAACTATAATTTTGCCATTTGCATCTAATTTGTATAAATCACAGCAATTTGTGTAAATTGGGTGTCCGACTATGAAAATTATGCTTGTATATGTATATGTTCTTTGTGTTAGGCTAGAGTTGCGAGCAAGATTAGGAGAGAAGCGAGAGAGTAGAGAGAGGTAAATTGTATACGTAGATCGATTAGATAATTGTATATATGTAACTACTATGTATATGTATCAATGATTGTGTTTATATGTTCGCTTAAAATTTGAATTTGTATACAATTGAGTTGGGTTAAAACGTTTGTATTTACATGTATCAAAAATATCTCTCTCGGTTTAGACAAATACAAATTGTACATTGTATTTATATAAAGCGAGAAAAAAAGACAGAAGAGAATTGGGCAGACGAAGATTTGCATTGATATAATTATAAGTGTATAAGACAGAGAGATATGTATTTATATTTGTATATACAGTCTCTCTCGCTTTATACAAAGAAAAACACAATTTGTACTTTTGTGTTTGTATAAAAGTGAGGGAAGCGAGAGAGAGAATTGAGAGTGGCGGACAAGATTCAAGGGAGAGAGGCGAGAATGGCAATGTGTGCTACAAATTAGAATTAAATGAAGGAAAAATTGTATATGATAGCAAACAATTAATTTAAATTATTAAATTCTATAAACATAGTTAGAATTTAAATTGTACCCTATAGCAAACTATTGTTATTTTTGTCTTTCTCTCTTGTGGAATCTCGCTCACCACTCTCGTTTTGGTGGTAATCTCGCTCGCCTCTCTCACTTTTATACAAATACAAATGTACAAAATGGTTTTGTGTTTGTATAAAGCAAGTGAAAATTGTACATATACATATATTTTCGTTCTTCCCTCTCTCCTCTCCCATATTTCACTCGCCACTCTCCAGATCTCACTCGCCACTCTCCAGATCTCGCTCGTCACTCTCACTAGCCCCTCTCACTTTATACTAACACAAATGTATACATTGTGTTTGTGTTTGTATAACGCTAGAAAAAATTATATATACAAATACAAATGCATATGTTTTCGTCCTATACATTTATGATTATATAAATACAATTTTCTCCTGCTCAGTTTTCTTTTGTTTTTATCATTTTATACGAACACAGACTATATGATTGATCTTTGTATATATATGGCGAATAATATAACTTTTTTTTTTATATATATGTATAGCGAAATATACATTTATGTTGGATATGGAGTGCAATTATGCAAAATAAACCTATAACATACAAATATTATTTTTATGTTTGTTATGTGTGAAAATTACTTTTAAGTGAAACTGTAGTTATAACATTTATTTTGAATTAATAATTTGCTATAATGCACAATTATTATTTCTTAAAGAATTATCAATTCTATATTAAAGATATATTTTCATATTTTATCATAATATTAATTATTATTTTCTTAATTTTATACTCAAAATGGATTTTTCCATTTTATCATAATATTAATATTATTTCTTAAAAACGTGCACAATCCAAGCTGAACAAGTAAAAAGCAAGCCGTGAGAGTACAAACAAGAATTTTAGGGAAGTACGAATATTTCTTTTTTCATATTGCATTTGATATCTATTTGGAAATTTACTTGGTCCAATTACCGCAAGAAACATTTTTGAATGTAAAGTACATATAAAATGTGGTTTCGTTCTTATAGCTAACCAATTATCAATCTTTTATTAAAATTGGGATGAGACTCAATTTTTCACTACATTTGATAATTAAATTCTGACTTTCTAAGTAATACTTGAACGTCTAATGTTTAGTCAAATGCCAAAAATTACAGAATTTAAAACTAGTGTGATTTTGTTTGTGAATAAGTTGCAAAAGTGAAAAGATCATTTAAAATTGACTCAATTTGGAATCAAGTTATATGAAATTCTATTATAAGAAAGATATATAATAATAAGCATGGAATAATTTGGATTTGTTATTGAATGTTCGGATTTTTATTGTAGAATGCATAATAGGTAAAATTATTGAATAATAAAGTAAATCTTTTAGGAACATACTAAGTTCAAAATCAATGAGTAAAAGTGGACAAAGTAAATAAGTTATTTTATTATATAAATGTTTTTTTTTATGTACATTCCATTTAACTTGATGAATCGAATATATACCTTAAAATTTCACTAAATTAATTAATAATCTCTCTAAGATAATATTTTCTTTGGATTTCAATTTGGACCAATGAAAAAATTATTTATTTGGATAAAATAATAAGATAGTATATTTTTAGTAGATCTCTATACAAATATATTGTCTAATTAATATTATAAATTAATAATTCTTTAAAAGTATAAATATATCTAAGATAATTTAATAAAATATAATTCTACTATATTTTTTTGGCTAAAATTTAAATCTAGTTAGAGCTCATATGCGTCCAAAAGTTGTCACGACTCCAAATCTTTTTGAGTGCATGTTGAATGATCTCTTTTGTACTCATATAATATTTTACGTATCTAATATGTTATTATTGATTTTTTAGAGTCTTTTAAATGAGAAGTCATTTTTGAGTATGGTTTCAAGAAATTTCCTATGTTTATTATAGCGTTTATTTCTTTCAGTATCATACACTGAATATTTTTAGTAAATATACAATGAATGATATTTGATTATTAAAAAACAATGAACATTATATATGATGAATTTATTTTTACTACGAGTCCTTGAATTCTTGAATTTAATTTACAATTAGTCATTTAACAAAAATACATAATACAATGGACCATATATATATATATATATATACACACACATTGTACTTTATATATAATGAATTTGTTTTTTTTATATAAATTCAATAAATATGATACATAATTTAGTAAGATACGATTATTTGATATATTCATAATACTTTATATATAATAAATTTATTCTTGAAGTAAATTCCATAATTATGATACATAAATTATAGTATGATACGATTATTTTGATGTAACTAAAACTATCCTTCATCGTATCTCAAAATATTCTTTAAATTAATAATATTAATTTATCGATTAAATAATATTTCTATAAAATAATAATATTTTATAGTGTCATCTATATTAATTTAGTGAGATTTTACTGTAATTAATAATTTTTTAAGAATTTCAGTACTCCCCCGTTTGTTTGTGTAAAAAGATATGCACAACGTAAGGAAAACAACAAAGGTGTCGATATGTTGATAATAGACTCTAACTATATGGAGTATCACCAAAAATATAATTGTGGCGGAATGACTATAGCATCTTTGATATCAATTATAGATATATGATAGGAAATAGTGGTCTCTTTTAATAAATCTTATGAAATATAAAATCTAGATTAAATGAAATTTCAATACGAATATCGAATATTGATTTGCTAATTTGATTCGGACGAAGAACTAAACTTGTCCCGTTAATGAAGCTATTTTTGTTACATGAAAATTATATTATAGAAGTGCAAATACATAACATGTTGTGTTTTAATTTCTTTCTCATTACCAGTAGTTTGATGAGTGACAATATTTTAACAACATATGTTCATAATAACTTTTAACATGAAATTAAAAAAAGATTCTCATAACTCTTTAACCATCACTTCAATTTACCTTATTTTTAAACAAATGACAACTAGAAGCGAGAAAAATAGTTATTTAAAAGTTATTCAACACGTACCCATAAGATTGCTAGTATTAAACTTAAATTACCATTTGAATTATGACCTCTTAATTATTGAATTGCTCTTTTTAGTAACAAACTAATAAAAAAAAATTAGATCACTGGAGATTAAGAAATTTTACTTTCTTCCTCCATATTCCTCTAAAAAAATTTAGAACAAGACGAAAAAACGATATACACAAGTATATGTAGCATCAATTTAAGTTATGTTACTTGCACAATTGCCTTTCTAGCTACTTTATTTTCCCTATTTGGTCCCAAGTGTTCGATTTTATTGTTTAGTTGACCTACTAGATGTACTGATCGACGGATTTAAGATATTATAGAGAATAATTTAATCAACATGGCTAATTAACATTATATTAAAAATAAATTTTAGTGGCAATTAAATAACAATTAGCACTCTTTGTATATGTCCTCAAAGGCTTTAGCAACATCGGATCTAGTTACACTTAACTAATGCCGATAAAGACTTTAAACACTCTTTATTAATGTGTCGCTTTATTGCCGCTAAAAAATGTTTTTGTTGTATTGAAAAGAGTGTACAGAATAATTTAATCAATTTGATGTTTGTTGATTAACTAAGACATGATTTTCTTCAAATGCTTTATCTACTTCTGGTGAATTTTGATGTATTTTTAGCCTTGGTGTATGTAATTCAACCTTTTTTCGTTGTCGTTATTATTGGGTTTAAGTTGTTATGAATGGAAAGTGGAGTAAATGAGAAAACGAAATAAAAAAAAAGTTCATTTTGCATAAAAACTTTGTCCCTCATTGATTAGAAAGGGGAAAGTCTTTTGTGTTTATGAAAAAGAGATGATTTGATTGATCATCTTTCTCAACCAATTAAATCTCATTGATGTTAATTTCACAAAATACAGTTTTTATAACGAAAATCTAATTATGATTTTTCCATCCACGTCACAAATTCAGTTCAAACAACTCCAAATAATACGAGGGTTACAAAAATTCTTCTAATGACTACATATATAATAAGTGTCCTGATTATTTTAGATCATAACAAGTGGTATAAGATCAAATTCAATAATATAGCCACAAATTGGACGATTCAATGATGGAGTCGAATGCAATGGTTCAATGATGGAGCTAGGTTTAGTAGTTCGATAATCAATGATTGAACCACGTTAAAAATTGGGTGTTCATCCTGATAGGTCTAGTTATAGTTCGTAACCTATTTGATACTTATGAAGATTTTGTTGGAGAAATTGTCATAGAGATTCTCTGTTTCGAAAAATAAATTTTGCAGAGGAAATGCAAATTATTGAAGATTATGCGACAAAGGTAGAGGTTTGTTTGAGCGACAAGGGAGAGATTTGTTTGGTATTAATTACCGTGATTTTTTTTTACTATATATATGTTTCCCTTTTAGGAAAATGTTTAGGATTGACTAGTTCTTTTCTTGTAGGAAAATGTTTAGATCTATATAAAAAGAGGCTTGTTTCTTTTAACTATCAACATTACTATGCAGTCCTAGGGTTTTGAGAGATTCAGTTGGGGGTGATGTTGTTTTTCATTATATTTTGTGCGCTTATATTCATAGTGGATTGCTCATCTCTTTTGTGGAGTAGGTCGATTGACTGAACCACACTAAATCTTTGTGTCTTTTAGTATATTTCTCATCTATCTTCTTACTCGTTGTCTTTCGAGATTTGCTATCCACATTACACCTTTATTTTGATCCTAATAATATGACCCCTACTCAAGTCATTTTAGCTATTCAAGGGGGAAAACAGATATAGAGCACACACAAAACCGCTAGAAATGAATAAAATCATTTGACAATTTAGGAATTGGAATAACATGCTATTTAGTAAGTAACTCAATTAGTAAAACAATCAGTAGGCACAAAAGGTAGTAACACTGATTGTTGAAGTATAACAAACGTCTCATACTGATTGTTAATGAGATAAGTGAACTTCTCATAAGATTTGAATAATCCTTCTCTTTTCAGCTTTTGAGCGACAAGTTCAGACATAAAATCTAATTTTACATGATACCAAAGCAGAACTGGTGTCACCAATGTACACTTACTTTAGGGTGATGTAGAAAAGAAGTCCCTGTTTGACATTATATCAGAGATAGAAAAAGAATGCATGGCCCAATAGTTTAAACACAAGAAAGGAAGTGGTAGTTACCATATTGGACTTGCCACTTGTTTGGTTATTTCCTGATATAGTAGCAAAAACATGGGCTCAAAGCCCATATTCTTTTATTGATAGGGCAGTAGTATTCTTAAATTTGATCTATGGGAACCACAAAGCTTTGGCATACACTGCTAGCTTCTTCTCATAGGTGTTGACTTTTGTAGTTCCATTGCAAGCTGATAAATACAACAACTTTACAATTATTTTAAACCAAACAAAGTAGACTTGCAGTACTCATCCTATGATCTACCAAGGCATATTCCAGAACACTAAAACATTTTTAAAATAAAATAAAGAAGAGAATTATAACTTATATAATCCATGCATTTATTTGATTGATGGGGATAAAAATAATAATTTCTAAGATATTTCATAAAAAAAAATTAATGAGTATTTGGTAATGAGTAATTATTGAATTCCAAGACTATTATATTATGTTGTTTTTAGTACAAATGAAGGGATAGTAAAAGGTGCAATAAAATAATCTCATGAAATATTTCAACATATATATTTCAACATGGTTTGGATGGTTGTTATACATTATTTCATAATGTATCGTATTATATTGCATTGTGTATTATTGTATCGTATTGTATTGTTTTACTGAATACAATGTTTGTAGATAATACATCGTCCTCCATCATTACTTAATGTCACTCATCCATAATTTGAATGAATGATAAACCTACATGAGATTGTAGGGCACGAGGTAGAGTTATACTATGAAAACTAAAAAAGCAGAGCAAATGATGAAATATAATTATTTAATAATAAGTAGAGACAAAATGAGAAGAAAGTATTAAAATAGCAACATACACAAAACGAGTACATTTTTCATTATTACCTAATGATGGATTTAAGTGTTATATTTTAACAGGTGATCTGTCTTATTAATCTTAGTTTTATAGATTGCAAATTTAAATTTACTGTGAATGGTTATTTAAATATTTTAGGTAAATGTAAGTTGAAGAAAAACTTTGTACGTAAACAATAAAGTTGTAGATTGTTTATTATTTAATCCGTATACACTAATTATATATGTATAGCCCAAAACCTCTTTGCTATTATTATATGTAGTAACAGGCTTTTTAGTTCATCAAACCTAATACGCAATAATACTTTACCTAATCAGTATACACTATCGCCCTTCATTTATCAGAGAAGGAGAACTACTTTAAAAAGAGGAAGATATTTACCGTCTTATAGTATTGAAATTTCGTGATTGTTATAATGACGTGTTGTTATATATGTATTTGATTTTTAGATCTTATTTAGCTGTCATAAATAAAAGTATATAAATTTTTTTTCCAAAGTAATGATATATTATACTTACAAAAAGAAGGAAGGTTCATTTTAACCAATTTAACAAATAAACTAAATAGAAAGAGTATTAATGTAAAATAGGCGAATATATTATTAGTCTTTCCTCGTGAGGTTATGTCTATAACTGATAAACATATTTTAGATATTTAAGTTTCAAATTTATAATGCGCATTTATCATATATGTTTTGACGATTTTTATACATAATATATTTCTTATCCAATAATTGAGTAGTTGAGTATGATTATTATTTATAGAGGAGTAATCTTGCTAAGAATGCGCTTTTATAATAAATGTCATTGTTATAAACAGAATGCTGTTGAAGAAAAATAAAATGTGATATCAAAAATTCAAATTAATCAAGATTTAGTATTCGTAACATAGAACGAAAAAAAAAAAACACATCATCCTTAATATGCATCATAAGAAAGCAATAGTTCAACTCTGCGATCTGCATGGAAGATGGTCCAGAATCCAATGACGTTATAAGCTGGTCCCCAATAAAACTACCATAACCACATTTCAAAGCACAACTTTTCATTATTTGCCGTAAAATAATTCAAATTGTTGTGAACCTTCACAAAATAAATACACTAACCTATACTCATTAATGCTGTTTATAAACGTTGGCACACTTAGATAGAAAAACCATACAACATATATTAGAAGCAGCAATACTAAATGACTAGTATTATTTATTCATCCCTAGGGTTAAGTTCAAGCTATAAAGGTCGAGAAATTTATAACTTAGATCACTCGTTTGGACTTTTCTAGTAGCTCACAACTTCATCGGATAAGCTTGATATTGTAACGATAATTAATTAACAATTATAATTTAATTGTAACTAAATATGATTTCTTAAAGATAATTACTAGCTAGAGCCTATACCTATTAAAGAACGATAAAATTCCCAGTCGGTGGTTAATGAGATAAGTGGATTCCTTATAAGTTTTTGCTATCTTTTCCATTCGAGCTAAGTTTTGGGGTGTGAGTTAGATGTAATACTCAATTTCACATGGTAGCAGGACCTGTCTCAACATCGGTGTGAGTTAATCGTAAGACCTAATATCACAATGTCAGATAATGACAATTAACTATTTATTAATAAACACATTTATTATCGCTAAAAATGATTTTTGGTAAGCGTTTGATCCTAACATTCTCGACCATAAAAAAAAAGCTTTTTAAATTTGTTCATATCTCGTTTTCACTACTGACTGGTAGCGCTGCTATTATAGTTCTTAATTACCACTGTGCTTATTACTCATCTATGCCTTTTTAGCCTCGAGCCACATTTCTTATTGTACTTGGCTGCAAGTTTTTGTAGATCCTCTGTCTTTTGTTGTTATTCTACAACTCTTTTTTTTTCTCACTCTGCTTTACTGCTGTAGCAATAAATAAAGCAAAAAAAAAAGGACAAATTTATATGCTCTGTGCTCCATTCTCTCCTTATATTTATTATACCAGTTTTTGAGAATCCCAAATTGAATTATTAATTATAATTTTTTTTTAATCAAAATTTGCTACTGCGCTCTTGTGTTTGTTGTTTACCAAAAAAAAATCACATTATGTTACTTCAGCTTGTTCTTGTTGGGGTATATATTGTTATGTACAAAGGTGTAGCAGATGCTTCTATATCTCCAATGGAGAAACATGAAAAAGAGGCATTGTACTCTGCTATTCAAGGTTTTGTTGGAAATGAGTGGAATGGTTCATTTCTTTATCCCGATCCTTGTGGCTGGACAACAATTCAGGTACTAATCTTTTGTTCCCCATGTTCTTTTTACTAATTTTCAAAGCTAAATTAGATTCGATATTTTCAAACTAAAAATTTAAATATTTCAAAACTACATTTACTATATGGATTTGCAAATATTCATCATTTAGGCTTTATCTTGATGTAATTCATTCCTAAAATCAAGTAGTTATATGCATTGAAATCGTTCTTGTATGTTAACTTGACGTAACATAAACTCTAGTCTAAAAACTTTGATCAACTCTATGAACTCTTCTTTTTGCTATAATCCACAGGGAGTATCATGTGATTTCTCCAATGGCTTGTGGCACGTAACAGATTTAACTATTGGAGACCTATATGACAATTCCCTTCGTTGCTCCCAAGCTGCAAAGTTCACAGAACACTTGTTTAAACTCAAGCATCTAAAGAGACTTTTCTTCTCAAATTGCTTCCTCTCAGATCAGCACAAATCAATTCCCATATCAAATTGGGATAGTCTCGCGAACAGCCTTGAATCGTTGGAGTTCCGATCAAATCCTGGTCTTATCGGGACAATTCCCACAAGTTTTGGCTACCTTAAGAATCTTCAATCTTTAGTACTACTGGAAAATGAACTGAAAGGAGAAATACCAGAAGCTTTGGGCAATTTAACTAAGCTAAAGCGCCTCGTTTTGGCAGGCAACAATTTTATTGGTCCTATTCCGACTAGTCTAGGAAGATTGACAAATCTTTTGATACTTGACACAAGCAGGAATTTTCTATCTGGTGCATTACCTGTGACTATTGGTGATTTATCTTCGCTCATAAAGCTCGACTTGAGCAACAATCGATTACATGGAAAATTGCCTCGAGAAATTGGAGGACTAAAGAGTCTGACACTACTTGATCTCAGCCACAATAATTTCTCTGATGGTTTGCCACAGACAATTCAAGAAATGGATTCCTTACAACAACTCGTGTTATCTGACAATCCGATAGGCGATTATGTTACAAGAATTCAATGGAGGAATATGAAAAACTTGGAAATGTTGGATCTTTCAAACATGGGATTGAAAGGGAACATACCAAATTCCATGACAGAAATGAAGAAACTGAGATTCCTCAGCCTCAGTAATAACGTTCTTTCAGGAACTATTCCATCAAAATTCGAGAAAATATCAACGATTAATGCTCTATACTTGGATGGAAATGATTTCACAGGGAAGCTTGAATTTTCACAAAGGTTTTATACAAAACTAAGGAGTCGTTTTCGAGCTTCAGGTAATGTGAAACTCTGTTTGTCCCTCGAGTTAACGTCAACAAGTCATGTTCCAGAAGGAGTAAAACAATGTGAACAAGATAACACAGTAGATAGTAAAGATTCAGATTCCAATTTAAAATACGATCAAAATTCCCAGCATATTATAGTTTCTTTGGGGCATTCAGGACATGTCGTTAGTCGTTTTACATTTTGTTATGTTGCAAGAATAATACTTATGTCTCTTCCATGGGTCGTATTTTTATAAATAAATTTCATGTCTCATTTAACGAGATCGAATTTGTTTATTTCTTGCCTATTTCTAGTACGTATGAATGAGATGGAATTTGTTTTTTGGGCTTTAATAAGGCATATTCAGAATTTCAAGACGAAGAAACTGAAACTTCTCCGGAATCAAGAAACTCAGAGCATTTCTGATGAGCCTATTGTTAGAAACACTTATAATTCATCCAATTACACCCAAATCAAATTCGAAATCCCCACTCTAAACATGCTTTAAATAAATAAAGCAAAAAAGGCTAAGCTTTATCTGCCTCAAATAATTAATGAATCTTTGAGTAATGATAACAAAATGATATCAAAAGAAAACAATATGGATGTAATTTTAATATGATGATTTCTTTAATTTGTTTTAAGTTGTAATCAATGTCACTTACACTAAGATGGACCCTAAAACTTTAACCTTTATTTTTAGGCTTTAAGAAAAGGGAAAGCCAAGATAAACAAAAGAATTAAAAAAGCCTTGAAATTTGGAGAGGGAATGATAGCATATAGCTAAACAACTTTTGTTTGAATTATGGCCAAATCGAGGAAATTTGGTCTTCTTACTTTAATTATTGGTGAGCTGAGAATCTAACGGAAACACCTTCTTTACCATTACAAGATAGGGGTAAAGTGCATGTGCACCACGTTCTTTATACCTAGCTACTTGTGTGATTATCCTAGCCATTAGGTGAATTGTTGTTGTTATGACTTATTTTTCGTCTCTTAGTAGACAGTATTAGATCTAGAGATTTATGATTTATAAATTTTTTCTAGTAAAAGAGAAAGTAAGTGGGCGTTCTGTTAAGAATTTCCACATCATAAATGAGATAAGAATTTTGTCTCCTTATATAAGCTTGAACAATTCTTCTTTCATGAGTTAGCTTTTGGGGTCGAGTAAGATCCAAGATTCATCTTTGCATGGTACCAGACCCAATACATTCCAATTCTTTGTTCACCCATGTTAGACCCCTCCACACTCCAGTTAACGAGATATGGGCGTGTGAGGGGTGTTTAGAATTCTCACATTGGAAAAAGGGTAGAAATTTGAGTTAATATCTCAGATGGTCACTCAACTATGCAATCTTCTCTCAGAAAGTCAATCAATTTTCAATTTTCACT